TGCCTCGAGTTACGCTCCCATATACGGAAGAATACTCGTCGAACGTTGCCATCTGGTATTCCTGGAAATATAATATCAAGAGAATTAAATGTGGCACTCGTATTCTTTGCACGTTCGACGCCTACTTACAAAGAGAAAGCATATTTTCGCATAGAAATTCGGAGCGACTTTACTTCAAAGTCTTTCTAACCTACATTTCTCTCGATATGAAACGAATGTATTTAAGCTTCGCGGGTAATAGTCTGTATTTCCGGTTATACTAGCTTTTTTGGAGAGTTTACGGCACACCACATTCCAGGCACTACACATTGAGCGGTGCTCCAGCCAGATCATGTGTCTGGCTTAAATTGTGTGTTACAAAGTTGACTCGTGGATAATCGTTGTGTCTGGATCGCTACTGCTGTGGATGATCGTTGACTGTGGCACATGCGGTATCAACGTGATGGACGACATCTTTCGAACGGGTTTCGGTGAAGCCTGAACAGATAAATACAACATTGAGAACTATGCTAATATTGTTAGACAAAAACACAATGAAACATCCAGAATCATTTTGAACATACCCATTCCCTTCTACAGGGTGCTTCATCGTCCGAATAATGATCTATTTGACCAATGTCAGTCTCGGTCGCAACATTTCTCTTCTTTGGTTGCAGTGTGGCATAATTGCGACAGCCTCTGTTGAAATTAGTCATATTCTTCTCCTCCACGATCTTCTCTTGACAGAGTACCTCCTGCGACTTACTTTGGTTATTATTCGTCACGTTGTTGTTAGTCTTGTTATTGAAATAGAACGGTGGCATTTTCGAGACCCAATGATCAAGCCCGGAACCAGTCGAACTGGTAGAGGCTGTCGAAGAAGTTCCTGAATTGTTTGTCAGTCCTCTTCGTTGGTAAAATAACATATAGGCGGCATTAGTGATTAGATTTGTGTCGTTCACCGCTTCCACTCTGGTATCGTCGAAACAATACCACTGAGTGTCGTATGGATTCCGACAGAACGCGGTGTAATGACCACCCTGCAAATCTTGGCCATGATGATTACATATCGCGTAAAGGTCATACACATTTTCATCGTACTTCGGAATATTCTGCTGACGAGGTCTGGGCTTCTTCCAGGGTGACCAACCTAAGCCTCCCAAACTGCTGACATTGTTGTGAGCCTGAACTCCGTTATGAGCTAAGTGGGGAGTCATATCAAACCCATACAACGGGAAATCGACCAACATAGTCAACTTCGACGTGGACCTCTGTCTGGATTGTTGCCGAAATCTCTTCAGGTGTATCACCAAGATGTCGGGCAACGACCAAAGACCCAACTTCTTCACAACTTCTTGTTTTTTATTGCAGTAGGGACAATGCCACGCATCTTCAGCGCCCAAGATCTCCGCTCTCGTATAGAGATCAAAGCATTCTTCGAGAGTGACAGCTCCTCCCAGTTCAGAATTAGTTTTCAACTGTTTCACACTCGCGTGTTCCTCGATCTGATCGCTGTCGTCCTGAATGATGTTGCATTTCGTAGCTTCGTCCCATTCCAAGATCAGTTTCACGTGTTGGGGGCCAGAATCGTCGGCGCAAAGAGCCAACGCCTGCTCAATTTGTTCCGTGTAAAGAGGGTGTTCTACGCAGGGATCTATGCAAGGGTGTTCGTCCTGAACCGGTGTGGCAGCTGGATCAGCAACCCGAATGTTGAACAGTCCAGGACTTTGACTAGACGTGAGAACATCGTCGGCCAGAACACTGTGCATTTCCTTTAGCAGAAGCTTTTGCAGGTCTTCGTAGGATGTCTCTCTGGAGACCTGCATCGTGTACGGACTGCCAAAGCGTTGCCTGAGGTCTCCTTTGACAAGCACGTTGATCCATACCAGAAGAATGTATGCCTGCTCCGTGGGTTCCTTCAGTTGTGGCAGTTCTATGCAGTAAAGTGGGTCGTTTTCGGTGATCACAGATAGAGGTTGGCAATCTGAGAATGTTCTGGAAAGAATAAATGAGAAATCAGTGAATCGCACGTTCGCGAATTTAATGGAATTCACTTGAAAAGTAGGTATTATGTTTACCTGTGAAATCCTTCGTCGTGGACTTCTGTGAGTAACATATGATTCTCGTCGATCCCGGTGTCACTCGCGAGAATTTCTCTTAATTCTCTCACGTTGGCAGTCTGGTTCACGCTCACGCCAATTTTAACTTGACGCGGCTGCTGGGACGTGTATAACACGTTCACGAAAAGGTTCATTTGTCGGTGGTTCTGGGGGACAGGCACCGACACGCATAGGAAGGGGTCGAACGTGTTCGACTGCCGATGACACCTTGGACACGTCAGACTAGATCGGAACTGGGCCTGGAACACCGCGTGCACGAACGAGTTGTTGCACCGGACATGATTCGCCAGCGTTTCCGCTGCAACAATGTCGTCCGGACGGCCGAACGAATTCTGGAAACAGAAATCATCGAAATGTAATCATTGCTTCGGAAAATACGATCCGATATTATCAGAATGTAGAATGAATTCTCGGTTCATTTTCAAGGTCAAAGGGCTTGCAGTCTTTCGGTAAGTTTGCAAACTTCTGTGAACAGATTTGATTTCATTTGATTTGATTCGATTTAATTTAATTTGATTAGGGTCGCATAATTAAATCAGGTCACTCGGTTTTTTAAAAGCGGTGGGCGTGTTCCTCGGTTGCTTCTGCTATAATTTCATGACGTTAATTCAAGTAACTGGAAGTGTACATGATATTGATAATTTTCCCGTTTTTGGCAACACACGACTGATTTTTTCATTGGCCTAGATGTCGTGCACCAATTTAACGGAAACGAGGTGAGTGGACATTCCGAGAGAAAACGGGGGAAACTTTCTAACCAGCAAAGCATCATTTTATACTATTTTCAACGGTGAATTAAAAGAATATTTATATCACCGCCAGAATTTCTGGCATTCGCAAAGGAATCGTAGAATGTAGAACGGCGAACGCGACTCCCGAATATTCCTCGCGGACGTACTTACCGGAACGTGTGCGTTCCGATGTAATTGTCGGGAGTTTCAGACTTTCACGTTGTAATTCAGTTTCTTTTATTTTATTGTATCGTCTTCGCGACTGAACGAAGATATCGCTCGCTCGCGAATAAATTACGCCTGATTGGGAAAACTTGAAAAGTATAAAAGTGTTGGCAAATCTTTAATCGTACTCCAGATATTAAATTTCTAATTAGTACCTATTTACGATAGCTTAGCGGTAATATTATTCCTTACGAAACGTCTGTTACCATCGTTTCAACAGCACGATCAGCCTTATCATTAAACGGGAGAAACTGTTTCGGTGTGCGCGGAGAAGATGATGAAACGATTAATCCTTATCACTCGAGGATCACGAAAAGAGTCGATAACGAGGTATGAAAATGCAAATACCTTCGAATACTTTCGCAAACACACCTGCATTTAACCAGAGACCCGCGTGGATTGTCTTTCACGTTACGTCATCGATAGATCAAACAAGCTGAGAAGCCAAACAAATAACACATTACAGAAATTGATCATCAAAACGACGGAAAAACCATCGAAACAGAAACGAAATCGCGCCGATCGCGCACGATCGACACACTTCATGGAATTTTGATAATCCTTAATAGATTCCGATGAAGTAACTTTATCTCCCGATTAGATGAGAACGTACTCGAGAATGTCTATGTTTCTAAGCCTCAAACAAATAATCAAACATATTACTATAACACATAAGCAAATCTTGTTTCGCTTTCATCAAAATTTCATTATCGTACCAATAAAAACTTCATTCAAATGACTCCACCATTAATTGGTAACTCCGAAAAGACTGTTTCCCACTAGGAAATGAATGATTATCATGCTACTCATGCTGTGTGTCGCATCGCAAATGTTAAGAAAATAATATTCGAACAATGAATTTCAACGATAACATTTGTCTAGAATGTTTCCCATTTGTTTATACGATTTACTCGAGTCGTATCGCCACTGACAGGTACAAATGGATCGCAGAACACTGTGCATTCCCATTTCTCGCCGGCAGTAACGTGGCGCCGCCGCCGCCGCTGTCGCCGTCGTGATTAACAGTTAAACAGCAGACGCGGCGTGCGGATTCACGTGCAACAAGAAATTCGAAAAACGACGTTTTTTTCCCCGGAGGCTGATTGGACGCGCGACACTCACGAAACCAGTTTACTTCCTAAAGTACACAAAGACGATCGCTTATAACACGACGGTTCTAATAATAGCCGTCTACCGGCGGTACGTTTCTTCGGCGTGTCTGCATATACCACATTTTCTGTCCCCGGTTTCACAACAGGCCCGTCGGATGGAGGAAGGCGAGTGGAGTATGCTAATAAACGCCAGACAATTGTCGCCGGCACGCTAAAACTCGCGAACTTGTTTGCGGCTGATGTATCGGTCACAATAAACTGCTGACAGACAATGTGGATTAGAAGATCTCAAAGTCCATTTCGGAAGTGTCAATAACCGCAAAGCATCGAGGCATTCTACTGACTCAATGCGATATGTGGTAACTGCTTATAAATAGAACAACCTCGAAGAAAGGTCGAGGAAGACGTATTTTTTGCCACTCGATTTTATTCTTATTAAAATGACGAATCAATTTTGAACAAAGTTTAGGTGTATACTGTGCGTAACGTATGGGAAATATTGAAATACCCGAGGAAGGGACGGTGTATTATTTACTCGCAATGACTTTGACTCGCATCGATCGGAAATTTTTCAGTGATAATTCAATTAGTTTCATTGGTAGCGTTTAGTCAACCGCTCGCAAAGCCTCGCGTGCTTTTCCTCTACCCCCTTTCCGGTCAGTGGATTCCCAGTGCAGGGTACTCGATCGGCATAGAAGGCTTCCCTTAACCAGATCACGAATCTTCTGTTTTCATGACCTTCGAAACATCGCCATTTACAAACCAGCCACGCACTGTACACGATTCGGGGAATCGTAACCAGCGGACTACTGGCAGACCAGGAAATAATGAGATCCAGTGAACTATCAGCAAACCTCGATAAAACTGCGATGACTTAACCCCTCGCATCCTTGATTACGTCATCTTTATTTCTTTACGGCTGCCTCGATTCCAGACATGTCAAGACCATTCGAACGCGTACTACCTATACTTGTTTATCGTAATCATTAAGATGTAACCGTACGTGAAATACTTAATGGTACGTAGCAACGTCTCAATGGAAATGGCACTTTAACCCTTTGCAACATAAAATCTATTTAATGTTGAACTTCTAATAATGCCTCGACACACAACTCAATGTACTTGATTTCCCTTCGAGTTAGTTTCAAAGAAATATCTTCGCCTCAAAAAATGTTAAACGTTCCCAGCGAGAAACCTCCGAGTGCAAAGGGTTAAACCTTCAGCTCGTGAAGGATTACCCTTTGACGAAAATTCTTCGAAACATGCAGAACCTTCGACATATGAAGCTAAATTACACATCAATTGCTTGATTAATAGAAGAAAAGGAAACTATAGTCTGATCTCTTGCTGTTCTAATTAAATCATTTGTTCGCGAGTCAGTCCTCCAAATACGAATATTTCATCCTATCGAAATAGCCGACATCCGTCCGCAAAGGGTTAAAGCCAGGTAGCTTCCGAGAAAGCCCGAAAACTCGTTCCCGGCGAGCGGGCGCAAAGAATTCCGATTTCGGATCACCTTTATCTATATCGGCCGCCTTCGCGAAGACAACCGGTCTTTCGTTACAGCATAGATAACGCTAATTGTTTCGAGCAGGCGATAACTCCGAGCGTGCATTCGTAAGCTACCGGAATGGGATAACCGTTGAGCCATCCGCAGGATGTATCGCCGATCCGGTTGCCGGAAGTAATTTTCAATGCTTACAGGTTGTAACGACTCACGCTACGATTCGCGACTCACAATTGGTCAATGTCACGTTGGTACACGTGTACCTGGTGCCGGAGAGAGAGATTGAGTAAGCTTTATCAGCCGGTCGGTAACCCTGTCTAATCTTCAAATTTCGATCGACGGACGAGCGAGTACTCAACTTCGATTTCCGAACCGTTAATCTCACTTTCCCGACCGAACGCACTCCTAAGCTTCCATACAATTGATTATCGTCATTGGAAAGCTACGATGGGCTGACTATTCACGATTCTGCTCATCGGAAGATCTTTATCGAAACCCGTACAGCTGTTCACAGGTTTCTCTAGATCCAAAATGGCGCCAGTCGCTATAATCGACTCCTGAAAACGGTGCCTGCGCACGCCAGTTTTTTACCGGCGAGAGTTACGTCAGAACGGACCACCGGCGGATCCCCGCTGGGACGAACTAGACAAAACATACAGAGAACTCCTGACCTTGGGACGACCTTGACGCGCCCAAACAATTAGCAACGCGGAGAGCCATTTAAAAATGTTTGGAAAGAGGTTTGCTTATTTTTCAGTTCCGAGTCGTGCGTAATATGTCGTAACGCGTTTCCACGGAGAAACTCGGGAATAGATGATTCATAGCGACAGTTCAAATGCACTCGGACAGAATTGATTTGAAAATTTGACGCATAAATAACTAGCAACGCGGTCGAGAGCCATCGAGATTGTTTGAAAAGAGGTTTGCTTATGTTTCAGTTCGAACGTGCCTCCACGGGGAAACTCGGGGATAGATGATTCATATTGACAGTTGAAATGCGCTGAGACGATAGAAATGTCACGTGAGTTTCGCAACGAGGTTCGTGTCGGTTTTCATTCCGGTCGGGCGACGTTTGATTTTTTTTCGATGCTGCGAAACGGGAGTCGCGATGGAATCCGTCAACGCTGCGAAAACACGACGATATCCGAATGCCGGCACGCGGCGCGGATCGCTTCCTATATCATTGCAAAACAAAGGACCGGAAGTTGGGCTTCTCTAAACAGTGTTTACGTAACGGTGGCAATCAACGGCTCCCGGGCCGTAACTTATAATTAACTTCTTTCGACCTCATAAACACGGAACGCTCAGAGGCGTACTTCGATACACAATACTTCGGAATCCAATAATATTCGTGTTACCTTCCGCGTTCCAGCGCTGCGCTACGAGACGTCCATACGCCTGCACTTATATATTTTCATAGAGTTCCGCGTGACACATCTGAGTGGTACAGTAACAATAGAAAATATCTTTATTCTCGCAGTGTAAGTACGCGCGAATGATTCTTGCCGTGGAGATACGACGTTGAGCGTATACGAACGGCAATAATCATTCGAGCAGCATGTACACACGTTAATACTGTCTACCATCAATGACGAGGCGTCAACGAAAAGATTTCTCGCAAACATTGACACGCGTACAAGTGCGGCGCTCTGTCATTCAGAAGACAATTCGTACACGCGCTGCCTACGACTGATAGATGAGCTGAATCCAAATAAACTGAACGCGTCGACTTTAGCCGGTGTTGGTAAACAATCGGC